TGAGCTGTATGTCATTTGTATGGTTTTGGTAGATGTCAGACCTTGTTCTCCATCGCCTCCACCTTGTCCTCGGCTCGTTTCTTTGCCGTTTCAAGGGTGGACGTCTCCAACACCTTACGTTTCAGTTCAGCATTCTCACTCTTGAGTAGCTGAATCTCCGCTTCGAGTTCCTTCGATTCGCCGACCTTGACCATCTGGTCCTAAGGCACAGGTTAGCGGTACAGCATTATGCTGGTGGTCGGTTCACGTACAATGGCAGCGTCCAGCAGGGGGTAGGGGTCTGGTGCTTCTGCTAGTATCTTATAAACACTTAGGAAGGCCGTCTCCGAACTCTTTGTTCTCCTCGTCAGGTTGTCAATTTCGGTTTGGTACGCTGGTGCCGGTGAGCACATTGACTTTGGTCACGATGGAACTAATACAGACCCTTTAGTAGAGCTTTGAATTCTCCCAGCTTCTCTTCATCAGGTAGCTTCTTGAATTCTGCCAACAGGGTGGTGTGAATTAGCGTACTGCTGTCTAGCTGCCTCTCTGATCCTACCTCTTGTTTTATCAGCAAGAGCTTTTCTTCCAACGACAGACTCTTTTTGATTCTCTACAAGTTCGACACCTTGTGCATCCAATGTCTTCTGGAGTTCTCCGAGATTGATTTCTGTGCTGCAATGAGTTCCGTGTAAGAAACGCTATTAATGATATTCGAGACCTTTCCACGCTGCTAGCGCGTCCGAGAAATTGTTGTTGTCTGCCATTGAGGACGTGTCCCGGTCCAAAGTGGTCGATACCAAACTTGCTTTCGTGTATATCGACATCGCACTAAAATGCTACGGCTCCGGCCAGCACTACGAGTCTCGTGTAGACGAATCCCTATAAGAACGATCGCTACAGAGTCAAGACCATATGTTCCACCGAAAGCGGAAAAGCTAGTCGCTCCATTGACGGAAGGACTCGCTGTTCCAGACTCGCCAACTTTTTTTTCAGGGCGTTCGGCATTCTTGGACAACGTCTATCGTTTAGAAAAAGAGCTCAATAGGTTTACGTTTATGATGCATGATGCTCATATAGTCCCTTTGCCGAAAGCTGCTCAGCATAATGTTGGCCATGTTCAAGGTTACTGGAGAGACATTGAAGGAATGCATCAAATATTGGGAAAAAATATCAAAGAAACTCAATATCGTCGTCTCCTATCACTCTTGACCCAACTTAATAAACTTCGGCATGTAGCCGGGTTGTGCGGGAAGAACGAAATCGCAACGATGATTGCTGAAGTCATTAGGCCCTATGAGAAGACTAACAAGGCAATCCTGGAAGCCCAGAGAACTGGACGGAAAAAGCCAATACCAGACGAATACGGCAGGGCCTATGCCCTAGGTCGACGAAAGACCAGTTCAGCACGAGTATGGGCTATCAAGATCCAACCCGAATCCCTTCTAGAAGCTTCAGACCGGAGAACAGTACCCACGGCTAGCTGTATCGTCAATGGAATCCCCGCAGCTCG